AGGGCCATCTCCATTTGAAGAGCCGACTGCAAATTCAAGTCTCAATATCTTTCACATCGCCCCAAACTGACTCCTACTTTGGATCCACTAAGTGGGAACTGCAGAACCAAAGGAACCCGATTGCTTTCATTGTATGTCTCATTCATTCACTCACCCATTCATCAAATACTAATTCAATATCTATGTAATAGGGACAGTATTTCCACTCCCTGTAAACCATGTTGTTCCATGCAATTAATCACTGCCATATGATCCAGCATATCAAAGGCAAATAGCCTACGGTCAACGATCAGCTAGTCCCTCACGAAGCAAGAGCCAGGCCTTGTCAAAAAGAGACGCATCTACATTCCAAGTGCTGCCTTTAGATGTTGAGAGGCGACCTTGGGTATCTGAGCAGAAGGCATAGGGAGAGAGGAATCATGCTATGGATATAAAGAAAGTTTCCACAGTCGGGAGGAGGAAGTAGAGAGCCTTTGGTGGGAGAAACAGGGAGAGGGAAAGAACAGAGGCTCTGATGGGAGGTCCTGGCTTCCACCTCTCAGGCTTGAAACCCCGGGTTTCAGGTGGATTGAGGAGGAAGCAGAAAGCGGATATAGCCCTGTGCCAACAAGAGGCTAGAGCAGCCATGGGCAAAATACGGCCCACGGGCCGGATCCGGCCCATTTGAAATGAATAAAACTAAAAAAAAAAAAAAGACTGTACCCTTTTATGTAATGATGTTTACTTTGAATTTATATTAGTTTACATAAACACTCCATCCATGCTTTTGTTCCGGCCCTCGGGTCCAGTTTAAGAACCCATTGTGGCCCTCGAGTCAAAAAGTTTGCCCACCCCTGGGCTAGAGGAACAATGTAGAAATGGCCAGGCACGGGCATGACGAGGGCACCTGTGATGGCACCGAGTCTCCCGCAGTTCCCATGTGTCCTTGCGTGTCCGGAGGGTGTGAAAGGAGGTGACAGTACTGGTGACAGTGTTTTGGGAGGGTTCCAGCAAGTAGGGAAATGACCCTGTGCTAAGGGCTGCAAAGACCTCTGGGCCAGGCATCTGATGAGATCTGCAGGGCCATGAACAGCTCAGGTGGGGCCTGGTCAGCCTCGAAGTGGGCCGGGCTCCCGGGAAGCAGTCTCCTTGTTTGGCTGATGGCGGGACAGTGCACATTACACCTACAGGGATTCTCAGCAGTTCAGGGGATGACAGAGACAAGCAGGACAACACGCCCAAGCACCCAGACCACCGCCTGCCGCCAGCTTTGGGCTTCCTGCACCAAGACACCAGCGGGGGAAGGAGGAAGGAGGGAGGAAACCGCTAGGAAGAAGGAAAACAGTTGTAGTTGGGAAACCGAATGTTACATTGGATTGAATATTTACTCCAAAGAGACTGATAAGACCGGGAAATGACTGAAAAACAGTAATGAGCAAGATCCAGTTTATTTTTTTCCTTTCCTGTTTCTTACCAGGAAGGGTACCTGTTTTAGATGAAGGAACTTACATTTTCTTGGACTATTCTAATGGACTTTACAACATATTTTGTTCTCTCAGTTTCCATCCAGAACAAATGTTTTGTTCTCTGAGACACTGGGACATTCTGCTGGACCACGCCTGGGATGCATGTCACAACGTGGGGGAGATGGTATGATGACACATGGCTTCCGTGTACCCACTACTCACCTCCTCCATTACCATCCCCTGACACCCACGTAGGCTTATGCTCAGGTCTTGAGCCAGGCCTTCCGTGGGCAAAGCATGTGATCACCAGCCTATCACTGCCTGCTAACAGGGAGTGGGGCTCATGGGGTTTCCAAAGACCGGCAAGCTGGGTGCCGCGGGGCACCTCAAGTACCCTCTGCTTTCTGAGGGGAAGCACTTCCTAAAGTTTCCCCTGAAACAGGGAGAGAGAAGGAACAGAGCCTCAGGCCACGCTATTTCAAAAACAATTTTTCTGTCTGTTTCCTTCTTTACTGGTCTAATGCTCACCAGGACCTAAGTCCCACAACACCCCCGAACCCAGCAACACCCCATAACCCAGCGGTTCTCAACCTATGGGTCGCGACCCCTTTGCCGGTTGAACGACCCTTTCACAGGGGTCGCCTAAGACCATCCTGCATATCAGATATTTACATTACAATTCATAACAGTAGCAACATTACAGTTATGAAGTAGCAACAAAAATAATTTTATGGTTGGGTCACAACACGAGGAACTGTATTTAAAGGGCCAGAAGGTTGAGAACCACTGCATAACCCCTTTGATGGGAACCTGATTTGCTTGTCCTGGTCACCCACCCTCTTTCTGGAGAATCACTCCTGTTCCCTAATCTGTGGTGAATGACCACTTCCCCAGGGTGCTAAAGCCTCTGACTCCCTCGCTTCGCCATCTTTGGGGACCAGTCCTGTTCACGTCTGTCAATCACTGTCCGTCAGGGCCCATCTCAGGAAGTCTCCTTCCCATATTCCTGCTGGGGTGAGCACCCCATCACATTCCCATGACCTGCGGCGACCTGGACCAGGTGGGCACATAACCCAACCTGGGCAACCAGATGCTTTCTCCTGGGAAGGTGTGGACCTCGGAGAGTCCAGGTGGGCTCTGCTGGGAACCTGGTGTAAAGGGCCTAGCCATGAAACTTCCTGTTGCGTCTGCGGAACTGACGTTGGCTTTAGTTCTATAGCTCTAAGTTCACACCCTGAACAAGGCAGAGGGTGGTCGATGAGGACTCTGCCTGCCAGCGTTCACGGGGCCACACCTGCCCCCTCGTTATGCTGGGAATTGTAAAACCCTGAGTTCCGGGGGGCACCGGTCTCCCTGGGGTGGTCCGGCAGGCCAGACTAGCTGCACTCCCATAGGAAAGGCTGGGCTTGGAGAGAGGGCCTTCGCCACACCTGGGCCGCCCGAGTGGGGCTTTAGCTTAGAATCTCGCACCTCTGCCAGTCAGGACAACGCTGCTGATCTTCACTGTGAATTCCGGTTAGAGCCTCTGTCTTTGTCTCTCTTAGTAAAGCAAAATTCGATTTAACAAACGGTATTTTCCCATCAAACCAGGTTTGTGTCTTGTTAATGGAGAAGGTGCATATAGCACTACACATGGAAGCGATGAAAACCTGGAACCATTTCTATGATTCTCTCTGGGGATCGTGAGGTAGGTCAGCTCCACACCCAGGAGGTAGGCCAGGTGCTGGGATGTGGCCAGGAGGCACCTTGGGTACACGGCAGAGGGGGTTCTGTGGTGGGAGCCCCGAGAGTTCTGTCATCTCCCGAGGCCCCACAGAGGGGACACTCCTGTCCCCAGGTGCCAGCAGCCTGCTCTGGGGGAGCCATGCCGCGTCCCAGGCCTCTGACATCTGGGCAGAAAGGGAGCGGGCTGGCTGACCTTTGAGTGTGCAGTGAAGCTGTCCAGAGTCCCTGGGAGAGAAACGGATTTCTCAACTCACTGGCTTTGAAGGCTCCATCTGCCACCTGCCCTGGCAAGGTCAGGCATGCTGGATGCAGCCCCGGGCGGCTGCCAGATCTCTGCAGGCTCGGGGTTCAGTCCTAACCTGGTCCCTTGGCCCCCAGCAGTGAAGAGCTTCTGCCAGGCCAGCCTCCCTTCGCACCAAATCCTAACTACCCCATATTCTCTTTCCCCTTTCTCTCTCTCTCTCAAACACACATACGTACACACACACATACACACACACACACACACACACACACGCATGCGTGAGAGAGCTTTGACTTCAGTACTGTTTTTGTTTTAAAGCAGACATTTAAAGGAAGAGGTGTAATAGCAACTTTTCTTGAAGGCCGAGGAAGAAAGAAGGAGAAAGGAGAACTTATACACGTGTCTATGCCCGGCAAAGCTGCAAATGACACCTTCCCCCAATTGAGGTGATGGCTCCCGGGGTGCAGGGGACAGGGGTGCCCAGCCTTCCTGTGATCCTCCGTGACACACATTAGGGATGATATATGTGACAGTCACATGAGGACACACTGCAGTGGCTCGGAGTGTGGACACAATGACAAGCGAGGACTTTACTGAGCATGTATTATGACAAGCGAGGACTTTACTGAGCATGTATTATGACAAGCGAGGACTTTACTGAGCATGTATTATGTGCCAGCCACGGTGCTTCACACATATTAGGTGTTTTACTCCTCACCACCACCCTGTGAGACAGGCTCTGTGACGGCCACTTTACGGATGAGGAAACTCAGATTCAGAAAGAGAAAAACACCTTGAGAGTGGCAGCCCCCGGGCTTGGATCTAGGTCCATCCAACCCCAAAGTGAGGGCTTCCCACCGCCTGCCCGCGGCCTCCTCCATCCTCACGGCTGTGGGCGAAGGGCAGGGACCGCCCGATACCGCTCTTCATCTCCTCTGGTACCAGTGCCCCAATTCTGCACATTTATTTTTAAAGGGAAAAGTACTGCCTCCCCTCTGAGGATGGATCTGGAGTTCTGGGCATGAACTTCAAAGAGTCAGGAAGCCACGGGGCAGGGCCAGCCTCCCTTGGCTTGCCCTTCATTGGAGGGGCCCAGGCGTTTCATGCCTTAGGTTCCGCTGCAACAGTTGAGAAGGACCATCGTATGAGCCGAAGTTATTCTAGCTGCTGGAACGATCGACTTCCAAGATTCAGTGGGTTAAGCCTAAAACATTTATTCCTCACTTACATAACCATCAGACACAGATCTGCAAAGAGCCAGGTTCTGAGGGTTTCGGGAGCACCTCCCCGGTGGCCAGAGTCGTGCAGTGTCTTTTCCTTGGCCGGGCAGGAAGCCTCCGAGGTCTGCTGTCTGCACGCCCCCTTGTGTACGCGTGCCACTCGGTTATCTCCTGGCAAGGTCCCTGGCTTGTCCACTGGATCAGGGCTCATGTCTCAGCCCCACGCCACACCCCTCGTCCTTATCCTTTCCCATGTCCTGTGTCTCAAGAAGCAGAGACCTCTGACACTCTTTGACACGCCAGATTACAAATAAGCACTGAAGTCAGCAGTGACTCACAAGGGTGCAAACGTCTATTGTGACTCCTCTAAGGGCCACCGGCCACCGCTAGCACCAGGCGCAGGTGATTTAATGAGCCCCCAGACGAAGCCTTTGAGACTCTCACCAGGAGCTACAGGAGTGAGGTGCAGGCCGGTCAGCACAGCCCTCCAGCTACTTCTCCAGCTTCATGGGGCCTAAGGGTCTCCCTTGGGAATTAATTTCTAGTCCAGGAAAGAGTCTTGGCTTCCATGGCCCAGGGGCAGAGGTGTCCTCAGAGACCTGCGAATTGGGGCCCAAGGCTCCTCCTGGTACCCCGAAGCTTAGAATCAATTCACAAATCCTGCCCTGCTCCCCTCCCTCCGGCACCATCCCCAACAAAGGGAGACTGTCCCTTTGTCCCCAGGCCAGGTTGGGGCTGCTCTGCCTCTCTGCAGCTGCCTGCATGTTTACTTCAACCAGACCAACCCGGCTGTCAACAACAGCAGAGCCCACACCGAGCGAGGCCTCTCAGGATGGCTCTGCAGGGGGCAGAGCTGTCTGAGCTGGGCAAGTAAGAGAGAAGTTCTCTGCCCCAAACCCAGGCTCCCTGGTGTCCCCGTTCCACAGGGCTCAGTTCCCTTCAGTTACCAGGAGCAGCAGGAGGAAATGCTTCCTGGACAATCACATCTAAGCTGGACAAACACTTCCCTGCTTCGTGCTCGGTGGCACTGTGTGTGGATGACAACAATCATGAATGTGCCTTTAATGACGAGTGTACACACCATACTCTGTCTCTTAAGGTGTATTAGCTCTTCAAGGGAAGGAACGGATGGTTTCTTATTCACATCTACTATCTGTACCTAATATGGCATTTGACTCTCAGAAATGCTACCTAGTGAATGCAATTTATTTCTGAGAGAATGGGTTAGTAAATAAATAAGAGAGTGAGGCAATGGGCAAAGATGAACGGGAAGAGAATAAATGAGAAGAAAATTATGGGAGAGTGAGAGAATGAATGAGGGTCTGAGAGGCAGGATGGTGGCCCATTGCTTCTAGGTACCCACTGCCCTCTTCTTTCTTGCAAACAAAACCCTTGTTTTCAGTTGGGCACATTTCCACCCAACAAAAAGAATACATTCCCCACACATGTCCATGACTAAGTTCTGTAACTAAGTTAATTGTAAGTACCAGTGTTGCATGACACATCACAGAAAATCCTTGGAAAAGGAATGTGTATGCTTTTGGTCACCTTCTATGGCCTATAAGATATGTGATGGCTAGAACTTGGCAGCCATATTGGACAATGAGGTGACCTCAAAAAAAAAAAGCCACTCTAGGTCAGTGAGGTAGAAAGATGGAAGTCTAGTGGACCTCAGAAACCCTATAACAACCAGGACTGCCTTCCTCTGGACCTTACTTATGTAAGACATAAATAAATGTTCATTTCACTTGTTGTTTTGTGGTTTGTTGTTTTTTATCATATGTAGTTGAATCTGATACTGACCAACTTGTCCAGAATCACAAGTTCATGCTAGAGTCAGTCCCAGTATCCGGGCCTCCTCTCTCCCGTCTCAAGTTCTTTCTGGCACCAGGCCTAAGTCACTGTAGGATGGCCTAAAAACGCCACCCTCACCAGATCCTGCAGATGTCCTTCAAATGTCAACCCAAAGCCATAACACAGACTCAGAGAATCTTGACCTTTTTTAAAAAACAATCAAAGTGGAATGATCCCTGACCTTTGCTTAAAACCCCAGGTTGGTGGGGATCACAGACCCAACCTCGGACTGAATGCAATTCTAACAGCCCAGGAAATGTACACTCACGTTTTTGGTGGCTCCTCCATTTCAACAGTCAAGCATTTATTCTTCCATAAAGTGGAGCATCGGGGGTCGGGTCTTACCTCCACCAGGGAATGCCAGTGTGCGATGGGCTTCCGAGGGTAGGACAACATTTCACTCCAGTGGTCTCTGCCCAGCCTCTCAGCTGTGTTGCCTACTTGACACACGCCGATGATCTCATTGTGACCTATACTGTGAAAACAGCCCACAATAGATTTTTCTTAAAAATGTGGTATGTGAGAATAACAGCTACTCAATTAAACCAATAAGGGAATCAGGGGAGGAGTGGTTCTTTTCATTCCCTAATTTAAAATTCAATGCCAAGTTGAACAGAGAACAGGACTTGGGATCCATTATCGTACTTAGTGGCACAGAGAGGAAGAGCAGAGTCTGGCCCTCCCACACCTAGGCTTTTGTAGCATGTACGTGTTACGTGGCCTGGCTTAGCTTGTTCCCAAGAACCCCATGTTTGAGGAGCTCCCTGAGGCACGCTAAGGATGCCACCCCTTAGTGTGCCTCCAGGCCTCCAAATCCATGTCATGAAAGGGGCCACCTGGATGGAGTTTCTTGCAATAACAGCTGCTCAAATTCCTGCAAGAGGCAACCAAGTGATTGATAAGGGGGCAGCTCTGTGTCTGGCAGCCATAGTCTTGAGCTCACAGCGAGGGCAGAGCTGAGGAGGCTCCTGGGTCTCTGCTTACCCTCTCTTTAGAGAACACATTTTTCTTATGCTCTTTCCTCCTTCCGTCCAAACCCAGCATTGCTTCTTTGACCCGATTTGATTTCCCTACTATAAAAACATCCTCAGCTCTTTTAACCTGAAGGGCTAATATTTCTGAAACATTTCCTGCATAGGTCCCTGCCTTGGTCCAATTTTTTTTCCTTCGCAAATTTTGGTTAGAAATCCTTTGCACAACTAGAATGACATGGCCCATCCTTTAACTCTTTGGTATCCAAACACATCAGATTTTCTCTCCTTTTTTCTTTCTGCAAAGATGACTATTCTCTCTATTTGTGTAGGGCGTAAGGGGGGAGACGAGGTGGGAAAGGGTATTTGAGTTTATGCTCATTAAAATCAGTTGCATGCAGAAGCTCCGTGAATTCTGCCATGGATTTTTCCAGGCCAGATTCATGAGTTTACTGAGAATTAAACTGAAGCAGAGCTCACATAATCAGATTTGTCGATGCGGGAAACTTGGCAATAGCTTGAAAAATGCTGGCCTAGCTTTCCAGGGCTCGTGGGCAATGTCCCCTCCTGTGGCCTGACACTCCAGGGGTTGTGTGTCATCCAGAGGAGGCAGGAGGGGGTCTCCTGTCCAGCGTGGGCTGGCACACCCATGGCAGCTCAGCCACCCGTGTGCCCTGGGATGGAAGAGGTTATGCTTCCCCCAGGCATCTGCTGGAGGGAGCGTTCAGGGCACTGGGGCTGCTCTGCTGACGTTTCAGGGGTCTGTGGGAAACAGTTTAGCTACAAACAGTATTTGGAACATTGTATTAGAAGTCAGAGTGACTTTTTTTCCCCATAATTGTACCCGGACCACGTGGGAGGTTTCCAATTAAAAAGAGACTTTTCATTTCAGTCTAATGACTGGTTTAACATATATAATTCCCGATGGGTGCTTTCTTTGCATATTAAAGTGACTGTTTTTTCAAATCTGTCCTTTAAATACACAATTGGCTACAATGTAGGCTATAAATATCTTTTCTGTGCTGTATTAATTAGAAAGTCGAGCATCTTATACATTTTAATGTGCCCTGTCATCCATACTGATGCTAGCATTTTCAAGGGAACATTTCTGTGTTTGCTTTCAGACTTAAGTGGATGGAAATGATCTTTATTGAACACATCGGGAGAAGGGAAAAAATAACGAAGTTATGTATTCGGAAATGTTGAGGGTCTGGCTAAAGCAATCACTTTGCTGCTCTGAGTGGGAGCTTTCCCTGAAGGCCAGCCAGGACCCCGAGAGATGATGGACCTCTGGGGCCACAGTTCTCCAAGCTGAGGTTCTCGGGGATGCAGGGGGGAAGAGGTGGGGGTAGAGGAGGATGGAGAAGGAGAAAGGTTTTCAAAAAGGGGAAGGAAAGAATGGGGTTGCTAAGAGGCACTTTCATAACCTGACTCGACAGCGTGGTTCGGACTCCTTGTCAATCACCTTTCCACGTGCTGCTCACTTGCTTCATCTCCTGCTGCCCGGGGACCAGCTAAGAAGCTGGGCTACCCCCGCCCCCCCTGCCCCCCTTGCCCTGAACACAGCAGACCTGCCCTGAGAGAGTCCCAGGTATCTCACCGGTCGTAGTCCATGACCGCTATGGACAAGTGGATTTGGTCAATGCTCTCGGGGGGGACGTCAAAGACTATGGCTTCGTTGTAAACAGGATTCAGGGTGTTCCTCTTGGTGGACGTTTTCCTCTTCTTCAGCCGCCTGCCGTCACACATCATGGAGACTTTCACGTAGGGATCTGTGGAGACCACGAAAGCAGGGGTCTGTGAGGACAGATGAGGACGTAGGCCAGCAGCCTCCTCACCGTGGGGTTTCACGGACCGTGTGTGCTTTCCCTGCCTGCGGACTGGAGCTTGAGGAGTTTCACTAATACAATGCCTAGGCAGTGACTAGAGTGAGCATAAGTAAGTCACTCATTCACAAAAAAGCACAGGACCCGGTTTCCTCAAAAATACATAGAATTTAAAAATAGTGTGAAAAAACATGTTCCCAAATGAGAAACCGTTCCAGGAAGAACTCAGACCTGCCTGGCTGTGACAGGAAGAGAAACGCAAAGGCACCTTCAAGGCGTGGAGAAAGGGCTGTGGGCTGGACTCAGCCACTCGGACAATGTTTTCCTAAACATCAGGTCTTTGGGAAAGGGAGGGGCCGAATTCCTAGGGGACAGGAGGAGTTTTGGGGTTTGATTCCCTGAGTGCAGGGGCCTTGAGTCCCCAGAGCTGCCTGCAGTCGGGTTGCAAAGGGTTAAGCAGTTCAGCACATCAGGGAGGAAGAACACAGGTTGGCTTGGGGTGCATGCTGGGAGGGGGTGACAGGTGACAAGGCTGGTCTCTGCTGCAGGGGGGACTTGCCTGGTTCCACCTCACTGCCCTCCTGCTCAGTGGGGAGCTTGTGTCCCTTCACCTGCATAACAGTGTGCTGCCCTGACTCCCATACACTGCCCAGGAGGGACTGTGAGAGCCAGGAGGGGCCCCATCTTTTTTCTGCTGGGAAAAACCCTAGAGTACAGGAAGTGGAATGTATTGCATCTGATGTCCTTTGATTTCAGTGGCCAACAGCTGGTGGACTGGGTATTTTATGACCATGTTAGGAGCCCCTGCAAAGGTTGCTTGTGATTTTGTATGTTAGGAACTGCATGCCAGGGCTTGTTTTTTAGGGTTTAGAATTTAAGGTACATGTTTGATTCCCTGGAAAAACAAAAACTGCATAGTTCACTAATGGGCCTTTTATAAGCATACTAGAGAACCAGTGCACGATTTTCGTGCATGGGGGGGGGGGTCCCTCAGCCCAGCCTGCACCCTCTCACAGTCCGGGAGCCCTTGGGGGATGTCTGACTGATGGCTTAGGCCTGCAGGGAGCGGGCCTAAGCCCTCAGTCGGACATCCTTAGCACTACCGCAGAGGCGGGAGAGGCTCCCGCCACTGCCGCTGCACTTGCCAGTCATGAGCCCAGCTCAGGGCTTCTGGCTGAGTGGTGCTCCCCCTGTGGGAATGCACTGACCACCAAAGGCAGCTCCTGCATTGAGTGTCTGCCCTCTGGTGATCAGTGCGCATCATAGGGACCAGTCATTCCACTGTTGGGTCAATTTGCATGTTAGCCTTTTATTATATAAGATAGAATTCTTTAATCTTCAGTAAGCTTGAGATGGTAATTGCTTATACTGAGAAAAGACTCAACTAGATAAGTTATACCATTATATGTAAGTTGTGGGCCTTATTCACAATTATGGTGAAGACTTAAGAGAGAATAATAATATGATGATAGATAGCATTTAGTATGTGCCAGGCATGTTCTTGTGGCTTTATATGAAGTACGTCATGTAATCTTATAATAACCCAATGAGTCAGTTACTAATATTACCATTCTTTTACAGATGGGGAATCTGAAGCCCAGAGAGGTTAAGGGACTTGCCCAAGGTCACACAGCTATTTGGTCTAAAACAAGGCTTACACCTAGGTAGTTTGGTCCCAGAGTCCATGTGTTTATTACTTTACCAGAAACTTCATAAGATCCTACACGAGAACCGCATGAGAAAGCTATAGTCGGACAATGTCCCACCTGATGCTCCTGTTATGTCCATCGCCTTTAAATTCCTTGCTTTTATAACAGTGATGGTCAGCCTGCCAGCCGTGGGAAGGTAGCAGAGGGAAAACATCAGCTCGCCAAGATCCACGTTGTCCTGTTGAGAAAGCGCACACGGAAGTGTTAGGAAGCGCCTCCAGGCTGGTGTGCAGAGGGCCAGCTGCAAGGTGGCACCTGGAGGGTCAGCCCTGCTCCCTCCCCTCATCTTGGGATCCCTGGTGCCTCTCAGCTCCACGCCAGTCACATGGAGAAGAGTAAACGCCTGCACTCGGGAGCCCCTTGCCCTAAGGAAGCCCAGCCCACCTTTAGATGGCAAAGCTGGGAGGCCACCCAGGGCCTCTGCCACCCTCGTGCAGCCCTGCACGGCCTCATACTGGTGACCCTGAAAGTAGCCCCCAGAACTGAAGCCCCCAGAGCCTTAACTATTCCCCACGGAGCCCCCTGTGTGGGTTCATTCAGATCCCCATCACAATCCACACAGAGCCAACAAATGACGCTACACAAAGAGGAGCCGCCTTACTGTGCAGCCCCCACCACAGCCTTCACACAGATGCACTCTGCACACAGCCCCACCCAGCCTCACACAGCCCCATGTGGCCTCAAACTGGTCCCCACAGGTGCCTCAGAGGCTCCCCTACCTAGTTTCCCACATGGCCTCCCCCAAGTTCTTCCCACGGGCCCCACATAGGCCCACCGTCTGTATGCAACCTTGACCCACACACGCCTCTTCACAGCCCCTGCCCCAAACAGTTTGCCACAATACCCCCATAAACTCCTGCAAACACCCCATACCCTGAAACAAACACACACGCACCTCCACCCACCAGAGCACTGCACGCAACCTGGTCTCACACAACCTGTGAGACCAGCACACGGCTCCACTGGACTTGGAAACATCTAGTCCCCACGTGGCTCTGGAGAAGGATCCCACAAAAGCCTGAGAGGGGCACCCAGCAACCCCACGCATCACAGCCCTGGACACACCAGCTTCAGACAGAGCCCCGGGCGGTCTCCGTGCAGGGAGAGATGGCTGGGACCCAGGCCCCCAGGTCCCTACCGCCGCCTGGGGTCTCCCACTTCGCTGCGGTGCAGGCCCTCTCCTGTGCCTCTCAGGAGCCCCCGTTCCCCTCTGCTGGGGAAGACATCTCCTCGGCAGTACACAGCCATTCGAATAAGGCAGGAGACATGCTTCTCTTTCTCCATCTTAGCCCAGGGAGAGTGTAAGCAGAAAGGAGAAGAATGAAGCCAGTTCATTTAGTTTCAATTTGTGACACCTGAGGTTACTGAGCTGGGTGCGTGTGTCTGATTAATACAGTTTCATTCCGACAATGCTCTGGGGAGTCCAGTTCCTGCTCAACGTCCACAGCCTCCCCTCCCCCTCTCCATTCTCCAAGGATGCTGCTATTTTTAGAAGCATAGATTCAGCTCTGAAAGGTCACCGTGGCCAGCCCGGCCTCCCTGCCTGACCGCTTCTGCTGGAGGAAGGTGGAGGGAATCTATTTGGTGGCTAAGGCAGATGGATTGCTTTGTATCTCCCTGCATCGCCTGCCTCGAGTAAACAAATGACCTCACCTTGCAAGCCAGGCGCCCCTGGTTCCTGGAACCCTGACCTCAAGAGACCCAGGTGGCTGGGCCTTCCCCTCTGGCCTGGAGGTGAGGGGAGGAGACAAGGATTACACAGGATGGGGGTGTCAAGGGGCAGGTGTGGGTGATCTGCAGGAGGAGCATCTGACCGCAGATAGAGGATCTGACCCAGCGTCCTGCTGTGGCACAGGAGAAAGAGAAGCAACGGCTGTCGCCACAAATTATCTTTTTCCTTCCTCACTCCCTGGCCTGCTCCTTGGCCCTCTGTCTGCCTCAAGTAGAAAGACCCAGACACCTGTTCTCCCTCAGAGGGCTTCCCGGCACCCAGCTCACCCCTTCTCTCCTCTCATCTGCCCAGAACATCTTGGTTGGACAGAGTAAAACAGGAGTGACCAAAATCACCCCATGAAGCTTCATCACCACCCGTCTTTTCAGCATATGATTCCCAAGGGCCACACTGCACTCTCTCTGTAGGGTTCGAGACGTGACACTCTCCAGGCCAGTGCACAAAATTGACTGTGACGTGTCAGGCTACTATTGTGCCACGTACATTTTTTCTCAACATAAACCGCATTCACAAATATTTATATTACATGACTGTCTGCTCATGAGTTAAAAGAAAAAAAAATCATAGCTTCAGACTTGATGTTACTTCAGAATGTGAACTAGGGCTGGTGTCCACATATGTACTTAACAAGCAAACAAACAAAACAACCCTGCAAATGAAAGAAATAGTTATCAAAGAGAAAGTGCTTGCTTTGATTTCCAAACGCTTTAAAATAATCATTAAAATTTTTTTATGAGAGTGAAAACGATAAAGTTCAAATATAGAAGTTTTAAAGTAAAACATCCTCTTTGATGTATATACCACCTATGTCACTCCTTTCCCCAGAGTAACCCTGTGAATAATCATCCATATTTTTCTTTCTTTCCTTCTTTTTTTTTTTTTAAATGTATTTTATTGATTTTTTACAGAGAGAGGAAGGGAGAGAGATAGAGAGTCAGAAACATCGATGAGAGAGAAACATCGATCAGCTGCCTCCTGCACATCTTCTACTGGGGATGTGCCCGCAACCCAGGTACATGCCCTTGACCGGAATCGAACCTGGGACCTTTCAGTCCGCAGGCCGACGCTCTATCCACTGAGCCAAACCGGTTTCGGCTCTTTCCTTCTTTTTCAAGAGAGTAGAAGGGAGGAAGAGAAGGGGAGAGAGACACACACATCGATTGGCTACCTTCTGTATACACCCCAACTAGGGCTGGGGATCAAACCTGCAATCGAGGTACATGCCCTTGGCTGGGAATCGAACCCTCGACCCTTTGGTCTGTGGGCTGACACTCTAACCGGCCAGGGCCGCTCACTTATTCTTTTAACATTTGCTGCAGTTGTGGTTGTCCAGCACTGCTTTTTGCCAGGTGCTGCGAGCTGTATTTGCAGCATTGAAAAACAGACATGGTCCCTTGATGAGAGATGGGTTTGCTGGGATATGGAGCAGGAGTTGATGGCACCTAATGCTAACTCTGCTTTCTCCCCATCAGCTGATGTTAATTTGAGCTCAGAACCTGTAGTTTTTTCTTGATGTGTTGTACAAGTGTGCACCGAAAACCTTTGTAATTTTGTTAACCAGTGTCACCCCAAAAAATTCAATAAAAAGAAAAAAAAGAACCTATGGATCCTGATATTTGTAAACATTCCCTTAAACTAGTGCTTCTCAACCAGGAGACATTTTCTACTACCTGGAGAAAATTTTAATTGTCAAAACTGGGGAGGTGGGTGTCTTACTGACATCTAGTGGGTAAAGTTCAGGGATGCTGCTAAACATTCTATAATGTACAGGGCAGCCCTTCTCTATAAGGAATGCTCTGGTCTCAAGGCTGAGAAACTGCATTATGCAGAAGTGCTTATATTGTTCGTAAAATTCTTTTTCAGAATGCTGATAAAAGTCACACATAAAAGGGTGGTGGGGTATTTGGCTTCTTTTTAGCTTGACAGGAACCAAATAGCAGAAGTGTCGCTGGTAGCTGAGTGCCCTGGGGGGTACAAGGGGAAGGAAAATGTCATACAGAGAAATGCTTCGTGTGCTCTTGCTTTGTGTGGCCAAGGTCAGTGTTGTTGGCAAGATACTAGCATACTGGGAATTTATAGCAAGTGTGCGTGGATTCTCTACCTGCCAATCCGTAAACTCTTCCTGTGATATGTTTGCCTGTAATGGCCTATGACTGCTCTAGTACTTGTCTAACTAGGATACTCTTGCATTCCTCTTGCTGGATTCTTCTGGTGAGCTCTTTCTCAATTTGGTGAAGTTGTAGGAGGGCTGCTGCAGGAATTCAGGTGTACCAAAATGTTCATGTCACTGTCCACTGTCGTCTGTTCAGGTAGGAGTTATGTAACCCAAGCAAGGCCATGTAGAGTCCTCTCTGATACTGGAAAGTCAATATTGAGAAATTCTCATTCTATTGGGGTTATTACCTGGGAAGATAGGAAACCAGAACTGTTGTAAGGTTCTTGCACTATATATAGTACAAGTAGTATAATATAACTTTATGTTAGGTTGAAGGATCATACTTGCAAACAATATAGCTAATAAAGGACTTCTATCCAGACTATATAAAGAACTCCTACAACTCAGAGAAACAACCTGACAAAAATATGGGCAAAAGATCGGAACAGACACTTTATCCAAATTACACTAAACCTCAGTGAGAAACCACTACACACCCACTAGACTAGTTAACATGAAAGACTGTTACCCAAGATGCCAAGCGATTGATCCTCTGATATGCTTGCTCCTGAAAAGGCAACATGTCAACTATTTGAAAAAATAGTTTGGCAATTTCCCTTGAAGTTACACATACACTTGCTAAATGACCCATAAATCCCATACCTAGTTATTCACCCAAGTGAAATAAAATCATCCGTCCATCCAAATACTGGTATGCAATTTTTCTGAGCCCAAAGTGAAAAGAAACCCAAAAGTAGCATTCAATGGTGAAAGGATAAACAAAATGTGGCATATCCCTACAATAGAATACTACTCAGCAACCAAATGAAACAAACTGCCAATATAAGAAAAAACATGAAAAATATCAAAAGTATTGTACTCAGTGAAAGAAGTCACACACAAAAGACAACATATTGTATGAAATTCTAGGAAAAGCAAATTTTCAGTGCCAGAAAGTGATCAGTGGGTGCTAGAAACCAGGACTGGGCAGAGGAGATTGACTGTTACGGAGCATTAGGAAACCTTTGGCGATGATAGATACATTCTATGTCGTGGTTATAGTTCTGGTTACATGACTACACATGTGACAAAACTTACACACTTAACATTGGTTAATTTCATTTTATATAATAATAGAGGTTTAGAAATTGTGAGTAGACAGATTTTGCAGAGGACTATATTTTTGTTTTCTAGTTTTGAGTTTAGAATTATCTTATTCTATCCTATTCTATCCCAATGTATCTACTAATAAAAATAAGGGGTATTCTCTATTTGTAGGGGACAAATTATT